TTTCTTAGTAGGGTCCTTTGGTTTCATTCCCGCATGTGCAAAATGTTCTGTAGGTAGACTCTGCAACTGAACTTGCCGCCTACTCTCCTCACTACTTATCATAGCATATGCCTGTGAAAGAGAAACCTCATCCCTGGCCAAAATATTCTGTCTAATAATATCAAACTTAGGGTTGAGTCCAGTGAGAAACTCAAACACCCTATTTCTCTCCACCAGCTTTCTATACATTTCAGCATCCTTTTTACTCTCCCATACCACTGTTTCCATAACATCAATTTCCTGCCATAGGGATTTTAGTATAGAGTAGTAGATTGCTACACTCTTCTCCCCCTATCTCGGGTTTTTCACATCACTTTTCAATTTGTACGCTCTGGCTACATTCAGTTTCTGTGAATAGGTCTTAGTTACACTGTCCCATATCTCCTTAGCCGAAGATATCCAGAGATAGTGTTGGCTTATATGGGGTTGCATAGAGTTGACTAACCATCCTATAACAGTATAGTTCTCTTGCATCCATTTTTCAAATTCAAGGTCTGTCTCTTCGGGTTTCACCTTACTACCTGTGAGATACCCGAGTTTTCCTCTACTACAAACATAGATTTTTATAGACTGTGCCCAAACCAGATAGTCCGTCCCATCTATCTTAATTGTGGTAACACCAGTCAAAACATAATCTACTGAGGCAGGTCCAGAAACCGACACCTGCTTGAACTCACTTCCGTATGTCTCCATTAATCAAACGGAAATCAAAGAACAAAAATTTTGACTATGTAAACTTATTTGAAGTCAAACCAGAACTCGGGTGCTTGAAAAACTAGGGTTTTGCTCTGTCCAGCAGATGAGAGGAAGAGAGAAGATGTTGCCGCACCTACTAGACTAACCCAAACTCTTCCAAACCTAAACCGCCCTCCTTTAGCAGTCACAAGACACCTTCCAAGCACAGAGCGCCACACCCGAGCTTCAACTTTCCTGGTAACCTCGAAAATCTTTAGTCGGCTAGGGTTTCGGGTAGCAACAGAACAACATCACTTCTTGGCAAAATCTAGCAAGAACTAAACTCTCCAAACCCTTCTACCAACTARGCAAGTGATTCTCTATACTATAGAGAGCCTATCTCTCCATACACTCTCTTGATTTTAGAGTGTACAAGAACGAAGAAAAAGAAGGAAGAGGAACTAAACCCGCTTTGATACCAAGATGTAAATCAGTCATTTAATATCAAGATTAAATTTAGTGATTAGCAGAATAAAACAGGTCTGAATAACTGTACAAGAGAAGAAGATGGCGAAGAGAAGAGGTAAGAGAAGAAGGAGTCGAATTATTCTCCATTCTCCTCTAACCCTATTTTATTAAGATCTAAAAATTTGATGATGACAAGAATGCCCTTAAGTGGGCGGCCAGCTTGGCAGTTACATAAAGAAAAATAAAACAAGAATAAATAACAAGCCCATTAAGTGTGGCCCATCAACATAAAATAAAAGATATTACAAGAGAGGCTGTAAGGGCCCATTCGGCCCAATCTCTTTACGGTAAAGTCTTTGTTTCTAGTTTTATTTAAGTCATGTTCAGTGTCAGAGTTCCAGTGTCAAACATGTCAGTTGAGCAAACAATGTAGAATAACTTTTCACTCAAATAATAAAAGATCAAGTTTTCCTTATCATGTTGTGTATTCTGATGTATGGGGGCCTACTACTGTAATCTTTGAGGGCGGATATAAGTACTTTATCACATTGATCGATGATTTTTCTCGCTATACATGGGTATTCCCTATGCGTAGTAGAGATGAAGTTCCAAAGATTGTGAAAGACTTCTAGAGGATGGTGTTTACGCAATTCCATGTTGAAATATAGATCTTTCAATCAGACAATGCAAATGAATATTTCCATAGTGAGCTCAATGAGTTTCTTTGCCTCCCATGGATCTATTCATAGGAGCTCATGCGCAAGAACACCACAACAAAATGGTGTTGCAGAAAGAAAAAATAGACACCTCATTGAGGTAGCTCGAGGGATGATGTTACACATGAATGTTCCAAAAAGGTTTTGGATGGATGCTATACTTGCAACTGCTTATGTCATCAATCGCATGCCCTCCAAAGTGCTGAACTACATGGCCCCTCATCAGTTGTTGTTCCCTCAATCCCCTTTATTTTCCATTCCCATGAAAGTTTTTGGTTGTCGTGCCTTTGTCCATGATTTGTCTCCATCTCGGGGTAAGTTAGACCCGCGGTCCATTCCTTATATCTTTCTAGGTATCCCTCCTCTCAAAAAGGGTATCGGTGCTTTGATCCCGTTAGTCATAAGTTTTTTGTGTCTATGGATGTGTCCTTCTTTGAATCTGAACCGTTCTTCCCTGCTTCTCCTCAGGGGGAGAGTAGTGTGGAAAAGGAGAAGCAGGTTCAGGTCCGCCAAGTCTCTCTTCCTTCTATTCCGGACCTTGCTCCCTTTCGTGTCTTCCAACGTACACGCCGTAGAGATCAACAATGTGATAGAGATGTGGAGTAGCCAAACATTGAGCAACCGACATTGTTAGACTCCCAGGAAGTAAGTCCAAACCCTATTGCACCTATTGATACTCCTACTCCTACTGTGGATGACCTTGACATTCCTATTGCTCAAAGAAAGGGAGTCAGGTCATACACTACCAAACACCCCATTACCCATTTTGTCTCCTATGATCACATTTCCCCTCATACCAAGCCTTCCTATCTGCAGTTGATTGCATCTCTGTACCCAAAAATGTTGCAGAAGCCTTAAAATGCCCTGAATAGACAGATGCTATGAAGGAGGAGATTAATGCCCTCCATAAAAATCAAACTTGGGAATTGGTGGTGGATCTTCCAAGGGGGAAAGACCCAGTGGGGCGTAAGTGGGTGTTTACAGTTAAACACAAAGCGGACAGGACAGTTGAAAGGTACAAAACAAGATTAGTAGCCAAGGGGTACACTCAAGTGTACGGGGTTGACTATGATGAGACTTTTGCTCCAGTAGCTAAGATGAACTCAATTAGAGTCCTCCTGTCATTAGCTACTAACCTTGACTGGGAATTGCATCAACTGGACATAAAGAATGCCTTTTTAAATGGTGACCTAGAGGAGGAAGTGTACATGGTTCAACCCCCTGGATTTTGTGCCATGGGAAGTGAAAATAAGGTGCACAAGATGAGAAAGTCTCTTTATGGTTTAAAACAATCTCCCAGGGCTTGGTTCAGTAAGTTTCACATGGCAGTTTAGCAGGTAGGGTTCAAGCAATCTCAGTCTGATCACACACTCTTTGTGAAGAGATGTCAGGAACAGGTTGTTGTATTGATAGTGTATGTGGATGATATCATCATTACAGGAAATTGGAGTTCARAAATACARAAATTGAAACAATTCCTTGCATCTAAATTTGAAGTAAAAGATTTAGGTCCCCTAAAGTATTTTCTTGGAATTGAAGTCGCTCGCTCAAAAAGGGGTATCTTCATTTATCAAAGGAAGTACACCCTTGATCTGTTACAAGACAGGCAAGTTAGGCGCAAGGCCAGCAGATACTCCAATGGATGTTGATCACAAATTGGGTGACCGAGATGGTGAACCTCTGAAAGATGTGAAACAGTTCCAAAGGTTAGTGGGAAAGTTGATTTATTTGTCCATGACCTGTCCAGACATTGCCTATTCAGTTGGGGTCCTGAGCCAATTCATGCACTCTCCTAAGAAACCACACATGGAGGCAGCAGAGAGAGTTCTTAGATACTTAAAAAAGTATCCAGGAACAGGTCTACTATTCAGTAAACATAATCACGTAAAGGTGGAAGTCTTTATAGATGCTGATTGGGCAGGTGCTATGGATGATAGAAAGTCCATAAGTGGGTATTGCACATTTGTGGGAGGAAACCTAGTGACGTTTTGTGGGAGGAAACAAAGTGTGGTAGCAAGGTCAAGTGCTGAAGCTGAATATAGAGCTATGGCACATGGGGTATCTGAAGTCCTTTGGCTAAAAAACTTTCTAGGGGAGCTTGGAGTTGTTGTTCATAATCCTATGTCTCTTTACTRTGACAACAARGCAGCCATAAACMTCGCCAGCAACCCTGTCCTACATGAGAGGACCAAGCACATTGAAGTGGACAAACACTTCATAAGGGAAAAATTGGAAAAAATGGAAATTTGCATCCCTTATGTCAACTCCAAGGAACAACTTGCTGATGTCCTYACAAARGGDCTTBYRTRCTYRYGGCACAAYGAGTTATGTGACAAGCTGGGCATGATAGACATATTCAGCCCAACTTRAGGGGGAGTGTTGTGAGGATTATTTAATTGTTATTTTACAGTTGTTGTTAGTATGCTGTCAGCTTAAGATGCTGTCAGCCAGTTAGTTTCTTTCTTTCTTATTAGCTTGTTACTAGGGAGTGCCACCAGGGGCATACTTATAATTTCTCATTCCTTTATATTAAGCTAATGTAAATAAACAAACTGGCTGCCACCAGATATGTTTTTGAGACTCTCAATCGTATCTTCCTCTTCTCCTCTCTCCTCTCTTCTCTTCTCTCTCTCTCTCCATGAATGATTACATCAGCATAGATTCTTTTTAACCTTCCCCTTTGCCCTTTTCAACTTGTAACAAATTGACCTCTAGTGCAACTATTGGCCCTCCAGAACTAAATGTAAACATAACTCACAATATTGGAATGGTAAATTCTTAAGAACAATTGCTAGGTGTGTACCCTACAATAGAGGTTACAAAAATACTGCTAAATTGAAGAATAGATGGGATTGGACCATAACTTAGTTGGTTGCACTCTTTATTAAACAATGCAAATTCTATCCTAATTTACCTGTAAAAAAGGAGAGTGTTGGTCTTAGTGGAAGGTATATGTGAAACATCCTATGAACTTGCTCAATACCCCTGATATTTTTACAAACTAGAAGTATTCCAACATATTTCTGTTTTTTAATATTGTTTTGTTAACTTGTTTGGAGTAAACATTAGCATGATATTAATATGTCCCTGTTACTTCTGCAGTACTTCTTATATCAGTTGTTGCGAGGATTAAAGTATGTACACTCAGCGAACGTCCTCCACCGTGATCTCAAGCCAAGCAATTTGTTTCTAAATGCTAACTGTGATCTTAAGATTGGTGACTTTGGATTGGCAAGGGCAACATCTGAAACAGATTTCATGACTGAGTATGTCGTCACTCGGTGGTATCGAGCACCAGAGTTGCTACTAAATTGTTCAGAATATACTTCTGCAATTGATATTTGGTCAGTGGGTTGCATACTTGGTGAAATCATGACACGGGAACCCCTGTTTCCAGGCAAAGATTATGTTCATCAATTGAGGCTTATCACAGAGGTACTCCTTGTAACTTTCATGGTTCTAATTAATTTGTGCTGGAGAGCCTTGCACTGTTTCTGCTTCTTAACCAACCAAGATGTTGCATTAGCATCTTTCATTTCTTTTCTCTCAGTTTTTATTTTTATTTTTTATTTTTGATGAAAATAGCACCACTTACCAATTCAGAGCGTTGTGTCAAGCATTCTTGTTCTGTGTCTACTCAGAATGGCGATTATTTCTGGCCATGTGATCCTTAGAATATAACTACTTTTAGCTGGTTCTTCTGGAATATGATTACTTCACTGGCCAGCATATCATAGAAATCTGAATGGTCCTGTATTTAGAACTCGAGCTTGAATATCTAAGCTATCTTAAGAAACAAAAAGCAAAAAGCTTATTTACCTAAGCTTTGATTATTCATATGTCACATCTGTTCCTTATAAACAAAAGGCACAAAATTTCTCCACTCTAAATCAGTATGCGTGGGCAATATTGTTATGATACTTTTCATGAAATCAAGACCAAATATTGATGATAGTCCTAGGTACTCTTTATTTCAAAGAACCAAAGAAAGCCTTGAAAGATTACAAAATATGTCACTTTCTAGAAAAAATATGAAAATATATACTATTGTATAATGAAAAGTGAGGTTGCACTCTCACTGGAATGGTTATGTTTGATTATGACAAACTGTGCTTTCTTTTCCTTTTCCTTAAAAAAAGTTGATAGGTTCACCTGATGATGCCAGTCTTGGGTTTCTTCGAAGCGATAATGCCCGGAGATATGTTCGGCAGCTTCCACAATACCCCAGACAGCAATTTTCTGCTAGATTCCCCAATATGTCTCCCAGTGCTCTTGATTTTCTGGAGAAAATGCTTGTGTTTGATCCAAACAAGCGTATCACAGGTATAATGAAAATAGATAGTGTTACTTTCAGTGACAGCATCCTTGAGTAATGACTTACTAGAGCCTTTTCCAACTCTTGTTTGTTTGCAGTCGATGAGGCACTGTGTCACCCATATCTTTCATCTCTACATGATATCATCGATGAGCCTGTTTGCTCAAGGCCTTTTGTTTTTGATTTTGAGCAACCATCATTCACTGAAGAGAACATCAAGGAACTCGTATGGAGGGAATCTGTGAAGTTCAACCCTGGCCCAATTCATTAGGATGTGTGAGATGGTAAATTGGTAATTGCTGCAAATACTGTAGATTGGTTTCTCAAGGTTCAATTCATTCCTATCACAATCCTTACAAATAAGAGATGAGGACCGTAACTGAGATGTCCCGTGGTTAAGTTATGATATTCCGTAAACTTGAAACAAATTATGCTGTGTGATCAGAGACCAAAATTTTATCAAACCCCAAATCTGTATTTGTGCAGGTCCTTGTAGACCATGTTGGTGCTGTTATACTTACCACCAGTATCAAGGGCATATTATTGGTTTAGAGCATTGGACAAGAAGATTGTATAAAGTTGTACGGCTCATCAACTCTTTCTCAGCTTTTAGATAAGGTGTGTCAAGGGGAAGAGTTGTACTGTATGGATCCTTAAATAATTTCTTGCCATTCTCTTAGAACCTAGAGGTTGCAGTTAAGCAAGTTTCTTCCTAGTGCGAATGGCTACCAAAACTATAAATTTAACATGCCTTATTAATTAACTAATTCCATTTAAATCCAATTACTATAATTGACCCCAACTAACTGATATCCAATTAAATTTATCAAATCCAAAATTTTAAATTTTACTATAGTTAACTTCATTTAAATTAGATTACCTGTCAAATAGCATGGATTAGCTAAATCATACACCCATGTTTTAATTTCTTATACCATTTCCCAATGTTTCTCGAAGTGTATTAATTCCAATAGTTTAGACTTGATATAAATTATTAAAATGTGTTTCTTATATGTTTATGTTTATACCTTGTTTATAGTCATTTGTGCCTCAAATTTGATGTTATTCTTAAATACAAAATTCCACGGTAGAGGTTTGTCAAAAAAAAAAAAACCAAAATCACAGAGATTAGGACAAAACTATTGACTTCCATGTGGGCCTTCCATCCTGACAACAAGAGTTTGCTTGTTTTTTTTTTGGAAATTTTCTAGGTTTAGTGCCACTCTTGTCTCCAAACTTAAAAACGCAACAAATTTTTTGGAGCAATTTGTGGTGCCGATCTGCTTTGCGGCGATAGAATTCTGGATATGGTGGAGCAATTTGTGGCCAAGAGCTGGCACTTGTTTCATTTTCATATGTTTTAAGACACGCAACAATAGATACTGAGTGCCCAAAAAATCAGCTTTAAGTATGCAACTTTGTTAAGGTGTTGCTAATTGATTCAGTGTATATTGAACTTCTAAATCCACTGCATATTACATAAAGCTCTGTTGAGCTGATACAAAAGAGAACAAATACTAGTAAATTATAGGACACATCTAGGACTGGTACTATTAATTATAGGTACTTCATCGCGTAAGAGCAGGTCTGCAGTTGAACAGTATCGATGGGCAGGCTGTCGGTGGGGAAAGCGCAACTGGTGAGCCCCTGGGGTGCCTGATCCGGCAACAGAGCACAGGGCGCAGGCGTCACGCCGCTTGTGATCCCTTCGATATCGCTGCATGTCCACGGCACCTTCTTCGCCTTATGCGCCAGCCCGATCGTCACATTTGATATGCAAATTCCGGTGAACTGATCTCCGGCAATTCCCTCCAACCTGGCGGCCATTGTGACGTTCTCCGCCACCATGTCCCGGTAATTGATTCCGTTGATCACGGGAAGCGCGTTGGGGTCGTACTTGTTGTCGGGATGGGACCCATAATTGCCCGTCATCCAGAAGGCCCACTTCATGGTTTTCATCGTCATTCCCCTCACGTATACATCTTTCACGTACCCTCCCCTCCCTACTGCTGTCTTGATGCGGACTCCGGATTCCGAATTGATGGCCAAAATGTCTTCGGCCCTCACGTCCTCTATCCCACCGGACATCTCACTTCCCAGTGCGATCACGGCACTGTCGGGCGAAATGCATGTCAGCCGTCTGATCACTAATCCTTTGGTCGGCATCCCAAAGGCGATTCCATACTCGTCCCACCCGCTTTTCACGGCCACACAGTCATCCCCAGACACTATGTAGCAATCTTCAATTCGGACGTTTGTGGATGAATCTGCAAATGAACCAGAAACGTTGTATCTTGTATGTCGGAACTCAGAATTCAGAAACGTTGCGTTGCAAGGAAAGTGAACAAAAAACGAAAACGAACCTGGGTTGATGCCATCGGTGTTTGGAGATGTAACGGGGGCTATGATGGTGATGCCTTGGACCAGAACGTTGCTGCATATTTTGTTTGCAGAAAAACACTTTCCCATAAATCAATTCTTATCAAATCAACTGTGGTTCTGTGAATGTGAAGTGAAGCAGTATAGGCTGTATTATAGTAGTTACCTGCTATAGACGGGATGGACGTTCCATGATGGGGAATTCACCAGCATGAGATTGGAGATCTGAACCTGATCGGAGAACATGATTTCGATCAGGTAGGGCCGGGTGTACTTAAGCTGGCCCTTGTGGAATTTCTGCCACCAGAGAGCACCCTGGCCGTCTATCGTGCCATTATCCCCTGGAATCGAATTCATCATCAAAGTGGGGCCAAAATGATCATCATTCATCATCTATCGATCAAAATCAGAAAGGAAGATGAAAGAAAAGATCACGGTTCCGTTTCGTACCTGTAATTACAACGTCGGTGAGGTTGGTTCCGAAGATTAAGCTGACGTACCTTCCACCGGCTGTATCTCTCCCTCTACCGTATGATGGCAAGGGCTCGATCACTGGCCATTGGCTCACGTCCTGATCAAATCCCAAGTTGAGTAAAGTTTTGCATTTGGGTTTGGTACCGTAAAAAAAATAATGAAGCGGTAAACTTGGTGTGATGTCCCAGGACTGGTGTCAGTCAGAGTCTCAGACTCTCAGACCTAGCTATAGGCTATAGCTTAAGCTGTTTTAATGTTTTTCCAAGCAGAGTCGTATACGTACGTATTCGTTTTCTTTTTCTGATCATCTACCTTTTAACCAGGAAAACCCTAGCCTTGACCTTGCCCAGTTTCATTTCCTTGAAGAATCAATCCAAACAAGCCCTAATGCAATTGGATCATCAAAGGGCCTACTACATACATACCGGGAGACGGGAGTTGCTTGCCACGTCGTGGGTCCCTTGTTTAATGTTCAAACAAAATTTAACGTGGAGAAGATTAATGGGTTGATGCTTACTGTAACTGAATAACTGAATCTGAACGGGATATTAGTTCAAAGTTCAGATGGTGAAAATCTCCTAGTCCTAGTAATGTGAACGAACCTGAGATGCTAGCAAGACGGCGTCTCTGTGGAGGAAAAGGGTGAAATGGCTGGTGAGATTGAAGCTTCCGGTTAACCATCGTCCCGGGGGAACGAACAGCTGGGCACCGCCGTCCGAAGCGAATTGGCTCAGATGATCGATTGCTGACTGGAAGGCCTTTGTGTTCAAAGTCTGTCCGTCGCCCACTCCTCCGTAATCTGTCAACGAAGCACTGTGTACTCTGCAACTCATTGCAGAGTATTGGAAAGAATCTAGAATCCTTGCTCTCCTGCACTCTGCTCCTTTCGTGCTCAATAGCCCCAGCACTACAAGCACTGAGATTATCTCCATTATCTGTTCGATGAAGCGAAGTACAAAAATGAAAGAGATTAGAAACATCAACAAAGAATGCGAGATGGGGGAAGAGCCAAAAGCTATGAACACAGAAAACCAGCAACAAAAGGGAAGAGAAAGAAGGAAGAAATGCATGCTTTCTTACGAGATTAATGATTTTAACCATGTGTAGATTGGAGAAGAACATGCATAACAGATAATGCATTAAAGAAAAAATGTGGAAAAAAGAAAAGAAAAGAGAGACTGGTGCAAAGCAAATAGCTTGCCTACTGGTTGTTCTGAGATTTAAGAGAAACAGAGAAAAGAGAGCAAGAAAACAAAAAAGCATAAGGAAAGGAAATATACATGGCATCTAAGATTTCCGCACAACTCCATTCGGAAGAATATAGATATGTTGCCTTCTGGGTTCTGGCTTTGTTTTGATGCAGAGACAAAAGGAGCAGTATATATAAACTCAAGCATGTGTTTAATTAATCCAGTTTGGTAACCCTTGCTGACGAATTTACCCTTTAGTGTGGAATAGCATTTCAGAATTTAGATTCCACGCATATACAATATTTTAGGATCTGTTTGTTTGGTTCATAAGAATAAGGGTCTGGAATTGGAGTTTGGTTGAGTAGAATGGCATTCTGATTCCTGCTGAAATGGCATTCACCATTTGGGGGAATGGCTATTCCGATGTCTCCCCCTATGGGAATAAAAATCTCATAAAGAAAAAAAAACCCAAACCCTATTTTTCTTTGCCTGACACGAACCCTAATTGGGAGTTATACATATCTTATGGAGTTTGATTTCAATTCTCTTCTGAACCGAACAAGTATATGAATATACAACTCCAATTCCAATTTCATGGGATTTCTAAACAACCCAAATGGACCCTTTCTTAAGTCACATAGAGAGAATGTTTAACTAAATGTGAACCCAATAAGGGTATTTTTGTCTTTTCAGAAATTCCCTTTTTATCAAAATTGGGATGTGCATGCATCACAGTCCTAAAAAAAAGGAAAGAGATTGTTAATGAACAGTTAAATGCTCAAACATATAAGGGCAATCCACAAACCAACCACGTTAGTTTTTTTAACTGTAGGTAAAACGCGTAAATGACAATACTACCCTTGCAGACTGTACCCATGAAATTGGGCTTTGTAATCCAAATCAAAAGCCCAGTATTTAAAAAACAGAAAGGCCCAACGGTCTCAGTTGTTTTTGTTTGTTGGGATTTGGGAGAATGAAGGTTCAGCCCAGATCAAAATTTGTAGACTAAAAGTAGTGTTGAGATAGGTGTCTGCTCGGAATTGATGTCAATTCATGGGCCGGCGTTGGTGCATAAAATGTGGGTATTGATGTAAATTCATTAGGCCTATCCGTACTTCTCCCTTTATTTTTTGGTTGGAAATTAAAAATTGAAAATTGGAAATGAAAGCGTTCTTGGCTTGTAACGGTTTTCCATCCAAGTCCATGGATTGTCTTGTGAGTTGTGACAAAGGATGAGAAGTCAATGACGAGGAAACTGGCAGCATGTTCATGTTTGGTCCTTCACTCGTTGTTCTTTCTAATTAAATTAACGTATTAAAAGAAATATTACCTTACCATATAGAGAAGGCTAATAAGTTTTGACGATGACATTTGAATTGACGACAACGTTGAAGCGACAGACAACCACACTCACTCGGGACTTGTAAAACTGGACTTACGCCTTATTGTCAACCCGACCCGGAAAATCTTGCCCTGGTTTACGGGCTTGTCCGCCACAAACCCGTACCCATCAGCATATAGCTTGTCTTGTGCAGTTGTGCTGTGGGGGTCGGTTCTGGTCTCGATAGATACATATGCACAACCGGTTCCCAGACTAGACAGTTGCTTTGCAATAATAGATCCAAAATCTAATCAACTATTAATCTGAGAATATCAAGTCTGACCCGATAAGATCATCCAATTATACTGGATATACATATACCCAATTACAATTGAAAAGTGTAATGTAGACCTGTATAATTGGGTTGTGTCAGATGGGCTCAATTGGGTTAACCCGATCCATTAACAGGCTTGCCCCTGCATAATTGAATTGCATTGCCTTATTTGGAACCCAAAGCCCAAAAGCCCATAAAAGAAACGCAATGCGAAAAAGCAAGCACTATGTAGCTCTCTACTGATTCCTCACAGGTTACAGCACAGGCCTCACTCCACAGACTAGACTAGAGGTAGAGGTGTTAGTGTGTGTGAACTCACACTGGGCCTCCAGCCTCTTAGTCCTATGTTAGCTAGTGAGAGTACACACATTATCATTCTTCCACGACTCCCTCATCCAACCGTCCGTCGTAGCTCAAACTGTTGCATGCACCCATCACTGGACGTCCGTCTTAAATCACATCACACCACACACACTGCATTGCATGTGTATAAACCAACGCCTACCGCACAGTATATTTTCCCAAAAGGTAGTCCCTCTCAATTTTGCGCTTTGTCAGACAAATGATGCAGAGATAGAAAATGAGAGGGTCAGGTAATGAATCTTGGGAGGGAGGACGGTGACAATTTGGCGCATTCCTTGTTGGAATGTAGTCGGCGGGTCCCACATCCTCCCCCTTCTATTCTCCAACTCCCATCACTACTTGCAAGTTACAAAATGCAGCACTGCACTTTTCAGGGCGTTCCCGTGAACACCACTCCTCTTCACCTTCTTCACGGGTTGCAACATGGTGGGGTCCAATAACAAAAACTTCTCACCAGCGTCAGCGTTGCCAAACAAAAACAACAACTTCCCTTTGTTAGCTTGGGCCTCATGGAATCTGGCGCACGTGCTAGTCCGACCGGGTTAGGTTGGGTTTAGCCGTTTACATCAACCCTGATTCAATTTTATGTTGTTGGACTTGAACCCCCAAATCTTTTAACCATGGCTTTTGAACCGTGGTTGATCCGTACAGTCGGACTGTTCGGTCTGGAAATCATCTAGTCATCTGGTTCTATTTCACTCTTAACCCATGTCTTGGCCAAAACTATTGACTTGGTCAGCCATTCACTGACTCAGGTGATTGAGCTATCGACTCAGATAACAGTTTTTGGCTTTTTTTAATTTTATTTAATTTTATCTTTTTTAACCTAGAACGGGCCAACCATTCGAACTAGACAATTGAACCGCTGACTTGAAAACCAGTGGCCAAATCAATTATGGTTCCAGGTCGGTTTTTAAAACATTATCCTTAACCATAATCCTCAAGGCCTCAGCCCTATGGGGTGTCAATGGACTGGTTTTCAGTTGGACCCTGTTGAAATTGAAATTAATTTGGACGAATTGGATAGACCAATAAGACATTAAATTGGACCAATTCAGACTTAATGGTCCAACGTATTTGTTGGATTGGATTGGACTTGGTCCATCCATAATGGATTTATATTGTATTGGATCAGATTGAACCAATAAGACATTAAATTGAACCGGTTCAAAATGGTCCAGCACATTCATTGAATTGGATTGAACCTGGTCCATCTGTAATAGACTCATATTGAACCGAATCCGATTAAACCAAATCTAGTACAATTGACACTCCTACTCAACCCTAACCTTAACCAAAACTTCAGCCCAATCAGACTGCTAACTAAACCCAAATTGCGCCTATATGCACGTGGGTCTGCATGGGTCCCACAATACCAAAAGACAAACAGGGGTAAGTAACAGGCACTCAACCCCCTCACGAGTCACGAGCGGGTTCGTTTCTCCACTAGAATTTTATCCTTTGTTTTTGTAAACCTTGCCTCAGGCCCTACCAAGCAAACTCACATGCATGGTATAAGTGTCCAAGTGATCAGATAATAATTTAAAAAAAAAAAAAAGTAGAAAAGAAATAAGAGTGTTAGAAAGAGAAAGGAAGAGTGTAAGGAGGACAACAAAGCAACCCCCACTTACTAAACAAGTGAATGGGGTGGTGGATGTTTTTTTCTGGTCGGAGGAAGTAATGCTGGTCGGTGCACTTCACATGAGAGAGAGAGACCCTCCCACTCGGCCACTCCCACCTTCTCCACTGCTAAATGCTAATGCCTAGTGGTGCCTTTGTGTGCTGGAGAGGGGTGCGCGTGCCTAGCATTTCTTGTGGTGGAACCCACATCATCTACCATCAATTTGGAATTCTAACTCAATTTCCATTTTCCATCAATTATTATAATGGGCCTCACAGCACATCGACGCCGTCCCATCCGGTAGCCACTCCAACTTCCACAAACACACCGTACGTTGCCTCTTCTTTGCATGCCACGTCAGATTCATTAGAGTGGACAGATTCACTTCCAGACCAGGTGTCATCAATTTGTTGGCCCAGAGATGAAGATTATAATAATACCGTCTAGTCTCAATTCTCTAATAAGTCTAACACCACCTCCGATTATGTGCAGGATGGATAAAAAAATGGTCCAACCTACTTTTGGAAGCACTTTTAAGGCAGGTCCAATCACTGCAATTTGCAACTCGTCGAAGTTTTGAATTTGATATCAGAGAATATCATATTGGTTTGGGTGGGAAGGAAAAAAGTCAAGGAAATCTTCACAAATCTTGTATAAGTTTTCCCAACTTTCCTTTCTTTTCCCTATTTACCTTTAAACCAAACATAGCCTAAAGGTCAGGACCGTTAACGGGCCCTTGACTTTTCCTCATCTATGTGAAAAAGTTGGATGAGTCCTGTTTTACCAATTAACTGGGCTAAGAAAAGAATGAATAGAAGATGTACAATTTGATTTTAATTCATTTAATTAGACGATAGAAAACTGTAACATAAAAAATTCATACATGCTCGACGAATTAGATGTCATAAATGGTTATCTACTCTGATCGGGCTCATTTTTAAAGTCTTGATGGAGCCCATACAACCATGGGTCCCAATACTCGAAATATGCGGCATTTGGCAAATATGGTATACGGGCCTCTGGCCCAAATCCCAATATATTCCCTATGCGAAATTAGTTAATTTTGTAATCAAATATTGTGTTTAGTATCATTGTTGTTTCTATCTCAAACGTTTTGGATTGATGAATATAAATTTTTGAGGGATATATATTGTTACATCTCATATGAGAATCAGGTCATGCTTGAAAGTGTTTATGTTAAAAATAAGTGCTTAACAATAAGTGTTTATTTGAATAAGTATTTATTTGCATTTGGCATCCAACTTTTTCAAGTGTTTATTTAAAAAAAAAAACACTTATTTCATATTGAGTATTTGGTAGTCTTTTTCTTCAATAAACATTTGTGACTATTTTGTCCTTCATTTTCTATCAAATTTTACAAAATTATTTTTATGAAAATATTTTTATAAAAGAATTTTTGCAAAAGCACTTTTATGAAAATACTTTTACAAAAGCACTTTTACGAAAGAATTTTTATAAAATTCAATTAGGGATAATTTTGTAAGTGGTATTTTAAAATTCAGCTAAGGATAGTTTTGGAAGAAAAAAATTGAATAAGTGCTTATTGTATAAGCACTTAAAAA